CCACATCACTACTTATAGGATATACCACGGATCCCTATAATTCCTACAGATCTTCCTTTTCAATTCAAACGGTTGCAGTTCCCTATTAAGCTCAGTTTTGCAATGAAAATTAATAAAGCGCAAGGGCAAAAGTTACAGGTAGCGGGGGTCAACTTAGAAAAACCGTGCTTCTCTCATGGTCAGCTGTATGTTGCATGTTCGCGTGTGTCAACTGCCAGGAATCTCGACATTCTTTCCCCGAATGAAAAAACATATAACATTGTGTACAGTAGCGTCTTAAAATAGTGTTCAGTTAGTTTTTTTCCAAAATTCCCATAATCAATTAATCAGAATTCTCACAGATCTTCTCTTTCAATTCAAAATTTCCTAATTAGCTCAGTTTCTTTTCGATTCCAAATTCTACAAGCTCAGTTTCCTTCCAACTCAAAAGGCTGCATCTCTGACGAATCTTTTATTTGGCTCAGTTTCCTTTCAATTCAGAAAACTGCATCTCTGACGAATAAATTTAGCTCAGTTTCTTTTCAAAAGTCTGCATCCCTGACGTATAATTATGCTGTTTCCTGTAATTAAAAAAATATCCCATTTCCATTTGGAATAAATAGGCTATTTTCATGCTTTCCTATACGCTGCATTTCAAAACATTTAAATAGGCTGACGAATTAATTGTGCTCAGTTTCCTTTTAATGGCTGCATCTCTGACAAATCTATAAAACTCAGTTTTCTTTCAATTCAAAAAGCAATTGACAGTTATATATATAGCTATAGCTATAAACTATATTCATTGAAGATTCGTTAAATATGTTAGTGCGTTACTCAGGTTTTTTGTTGTGGCTGTGTAGTTTTATATCCACGGAGGTAACGACAATAGTTCTAAATAAGGGTCGGTACAAACAGCAAAATATGTTGGCAGATGTTTTGCTTTGTTATTTTTTACGGTCTTAGTCCGGGGTCGCGCTGGTTTTGAGTTTTATTTCTTAATAATTTATAATGATTCCTATTCATAATCGTATTTTTTAATGTTTCTTTAACACATTATTATTGTTTTTTTTCCTTGATGACATAAATGGTTTAAATTAATCCATACAACAATTTTAGATCACCATCCGAAACTAACTTGGCTCGTAGAAGTCATAGAAGCCAAGAGGTTCGTACTGGAGGTGGGAGTGGACCATGTCAAGTTAGGAGGTATTTTAGATTCTTTGTATTTTTTAAATACTAGTTTCGTATATTTTGTTTTTCTCACTTTATATAAAAAATTATACGTGTTAGAGCCATGCTGCAGTTATATTAGTAGTATAGTTGTAGCACGAATAGATCGGCTCGACCGGGAAGATACTAGCGTAAAATAGTAGCTTAATGCTGCTGTGTTACATATGGTGAGTGTAGAGAACCGGCGACCCTTTTTAACATATGTAACATGAATATGACCGACTGACATACAAGCCAAGCATTGTTTTGGACTACAACAAGTCCATGGGAGGAGTGGACAGAAAGGACCAGTTCTTGTTCGCTCAGCCCATGGAACGTACACGAAATAAAATTTAGTACAAAAAAGTGTTTCGTCGTCTCCTTAACTGTGCCATTTTTAACTGTTACATTTTATTTAAAACGGTCAGTCCAAAGATACCACATAGACAATTCAGGGCAATTTTGGCGAAAGACTTACTAAAGTTACACCGACATGTTGACCTCAAAAACAACAGAAACACGACTTATAAATTCAGGAACTGGACTGACGAAAAGGCCAATGACAACTACGTCCAGCAGACGTAAAATCGAGCATCAACATTTCCCAGTCAAAACCGGCTTTCCAGCGTTTTCTTAACGTCAGCCATTACGTTGTCAACCCGATTGTTTACTTGGTCGATTCGGGTTTCAGCTTCCGACAGGCGGTTGTCATGTTGAGCAACCTTATCCTTCACCTCCCGTACCTCTTTCCCGAAGATAGCGTGAAGGTCCTTCATAAGGAGCATCTGCTCTTCCAACCGACGGCCCTGTTCCTCTTGTCGGCGGGCCTGTTCATTCTGTCCGCCCCGCAGTTGCTCTTTCAACTGACGGACCTGTTCCTCCTGTCGGCGGACCTGTTCATCCTGTCCACCCCGCAGCTGCTTTTCCAACCGACGGACCTGTTCCTCCTGCGGCGAGCCTGTTTCTCCTATCGGCGAGCCTGCTCCTGCAGCATCACCATCAGAGCACCTAAGTCAGGTGCTGCAGATGTGGGAGCTACTGACGGGCCAGCCTCCGTGGCTGGCAGTTGGCCCTCTGACCTCTGCGGCGTTGCACCACCAAATCTTCTCTGGTCCGTTTCCGGCTGGCGTTGACTTCGGGTACGGACACCCTCCGTTTCCTCCTTAGGTAAAATCGGCATGATTTTATCCCACTTCTGACACCAATTGTTACGAGCTTGAGGTTCGTGACAATAAAAATTGGGGATAGAATTACCAAAATTATCTATTTAATTCACTTTACACTAATTAAATTTAAAACACTAATAATTAATCACAATGATTCACTTTATTTCGCTTCGAAGCTTTGCTTGTCTCGCCAAATTCAATACTTCCTCGATCGCACCTTGCAGCACCTATAAATACACATTAGCACCGAAACATCCAGAACATTCGACACGAACACACCAATCGACAAGGCGTCGAAAGTTCGACTGTCGGCTTCTAGAAGCTTAGTTCTTCGTTTGGACACCAGATGGCGCTGTCGGTTGAAAATTACTGATGTAATTTTGTGGAAATCTCCCCCCGCTCTCGTCCCTGACACTACATGACGTCAACTTAGGCGCGCAACACTATTTTTGTAATAAGACGGCGATTTGTTTTACGTAAAATAAACATAATATTTTCTTTTCTGTTTCACCAGACCGAGCAACATTATATCTTTCATTTTTTCTTTTTTATTTTTGTCATGAATGTTATTTTGTTTTTGTTTGTAAAAAACTCATCATTATTATTTTGAGGATATGATGGTGTCTCGTTTTTTGCGATGTTCGTTATTCATTTACAATATTTCAAAAGAAAGTTTTTCGTCGTTTAATATCGATTAAATTGAAACGTTGATTATTTATAGAGAAAGACGCAAAGTGAACTTTTTAGGATTCAGAACATAAGAACGTAAAAAGCTTTTTGGACTAAACATTAATGTTTATTAAAAAGGCGAAAGAACAAAATAAAAGAGAGTAAGTTTAAATGAAGAGGAAACGTTTTCCATGTCGTATTCATTTGATCGAAAAGAGCAAAATTTGTCGAAGCAATGCAAACCTACTTCATTACGCGAATGAAATTAATGTTTTAGTAATTGGTTGAGAAAAAAATTGACATCGTGTTGATTTTTTAAAAATATAAGGTGACATACGAGCACACAGTTCACCTGATGGTACGTGATTTTTGTGGCCCATAGACATCTACATCTATGTTCGATTACGAATCAAAATGAAGATGCGTTGGCACCCGAAGGGCAAAGATGGAATGCCTAGTTTACAGTATAATGGGTCCCCGGTTCTCTACACTGACAATTTAGATGTCTATGGGCCACAGCATCTACTTACCATCGGAGGAAACATCTTAACTCTACGAATCTGCCAATGAAAAAGTTTTCTTCCCCTTCGGTGGTCTCTTATAATTTGCTTAATTTGTAAATGGTTCATATTACGTGTATTAAATTTTTAATCAAATTTGAAAAGCTCAGAACTTCTGCGCCTTAATTTGTCTTAAGCACATTTTAAATTGCTTATTACATAAAATGCTTATTCTTTAGCCCTCTTGCAAATGACAAGCAAAAGACAGATTTTTATACAGTTTCCTTTAAATCTCATTTTAAAGTCTTTATTTAATTTGGAAGAAATGGAATAATAATTTCATAGGATTCTACTTGATATTCCTCTACTGCACTTGTGTTAATTTTTTAAGGGAAAACTTAATTACTTATAGTCTCAGTTAAGCTGTTCATGGCAAAAAAAGGTTTTTTATACGAGTAGTTTCAAAGCGAAGTATTATGTTTATATATAAATATATCGATAATTGGACAAAAAAGGTTATTCTTTTATCCTACATGTTGTTAAATTTATTTGTATTGTATATCAAAACTTGTGTATTTTTGTACTTCATCATTTAAAATGAAAAAATATATATTAAAATAGTGTACTATTAACGTTATTAACAAAAATATCGAACACTGGTTTTTATATTGAAGTATGTATTAGGTAAGCGTACATAGCCATTTTATTCCCGTAAAGTGTGTAACATAATAAAATCAGTTTCTGTCTCTCACGTTATCTTTTACAGTATTTTTTTCAAAGTAAGTATAACTGTTATAAACTAATACAACTTTGTTTACGTGAAAGCCATCGTACTTTTTTAAGGTACAGCAATTTTACGACTATATTTTTGTATAAATTAAGTTAATTTTAATGCAGTAATACACTATTATTTTATGAAATATGATGATAGTATTTATATGCAAAAAAGGATGTAAAATGCAAAAAAGGATTCCTTTTTTTGCCTAGGAGTCGGTTTGGGTAGGGACTACCCTCTGATTTTTCTCTGCCACCAAATAACAGTGCTTACACTGCTGTGTTGAAGAATATACTGCCGTCCGCAAGCTATAATGCCGCTATCTACCAAAACCAAATTTCAAAGTTAAGGACAAAAAAGCGCGAAAAAATAAAAAATGGATGCTATATCAAAAGGTAGATCTAGTTTTACGCTTTCAAAAAGCCATACTTTTACTTGTTTAATAATGAAATTAAGAATGAAAAAAAAACCTTAACAAAAATAGGTTTTTGCGTTTCAGTTTAGTGTTTTTACAATTTACAGCTTATGCAACCACGACTATAACGCCACTAAGCTTACCTTAACGGTACTTTAGTGTTTGATTTTAATTTAATTTTATTGAAATTAAAAAGTCTTAAAAACATCTCTTCATTATTAAACTGTAATGCCACTAAATACTTTAACGTTGTTATAACTTAGTATTATCAAAATTTTCCTGCTCAGAGCCATGATGCTTTACCAAATTCAGATCACGTGCAAATCGATTTAACCTGCAACGAAGTGATGCCGTTAGAACAACTCTCATTTAATGTAACTGAACAAAATGATATAAGTTCATCAACGTACGCGTTGCAATGTGGTTTTGATTCCGACGACTCTTTGCGTGATAAATACTATCTCCCATCTGATTCAAGTAGTCATTCAAGTGACGATTTTGAATCAGTTAAATCGAGTAGCCAAAAGTCCCAAGTGTTACAAACAAACGGAAGTTCTAAAAAAAAGATTCACAATCCATATTTCCACCACTTGTGGTCACAGAAAGCTTAACTTCAGACGTTCTTGACACTATTCCTTTTATTCATGAAAGAAAAAAGTTGCAGAATAAAAGCAGAAGTTCAATTAATTTTCCTTGTGCTGATAAAGATATTGCCGCGTCGCTACTTCCTCGCAATCGTAAGAACACCATTGATGTTGGTGCGTATCAAATATTGTATCAAGTCAATGAATCTGTTGCAGTCACTTTAGAACCTGAAACATCACAACCAAAACAAAAACGTAAAAAATATGACACTCCCTTATTTCAGCGAAAATAGATGCCAAAAATAAAAAAAAGTTAGAACATAATGTTAAAACGGGGTGTAACGAAACCTGCCTAAAAAAATGTACTTAAAAATTTAGTCAAGACCAGCGAGAAGCAATCAATAAAATGTATTGGGACTTGTTCTGGCGAGAAATGCATTTATTCGTGAATGCACACACTTCAGTAGCAGTTCCAAAGAGAAAAACGACCAGTGACCCGAAGAGGAAACCAAAAAGGGCATTTACATTTAAACAACTAGACGGCACCAGAGTTCAGGTATGCAAAACCTTTTTTTTACTACTTTAGGTTATGTTAAAACAAATGACAGGATCTTGCATAGCTCTTTTATTGATCCCCAATTTACTGATAAAAGAAGAAAGCACCAGAAACACTTCTGATCTCTCTGATTCAGATCGTAATTTGTTGACTCAGCACGTTGAATCGTTTCACCCATCAGAACCCCACATATACAGACAGAACCCCACATATACAGAACGTTCATACAGGTGTGAACATGCTCCACTGCGACGATATTTGTCAAGTGATATTAGTGTAACTAACATGCATAGACATTTCTGTAAAAAATATCCAGATAAGATCGTTTCGTATGAACTGAATAGGCAACCCGTAAAAAATGAATATTTCTTTTACTCGTTTGGGTAATGAAAAGTGCGAAATGTGTGAAGCTTACACTTTGCATAAAAAAGAAACATCACATGATGTCGGTAACCAGATTGCTTAGACTGTACTGTATGTGTGGAGTGGGCCCAGCACCATCAAAAATATAAAAAAGCAAGGGAGCTTTACAATTAACACAAAAACTTACCAAAAAATGATTCCCAAATATATTACTTAGAAAATCCCAAATATATTATTTAGAAAAAGTAATTATGTTGCCCCGATTAGATACATTTAAAGCTGCAATTTAAATGCAATTTCTTATAAAAATAAATAGTTAAAATTTAAAGTAAAATAAGTATTTTATGTTACTCACCGTCTAACTCAGCATCAACTATAAATGACAATTGATATACGTTTTATAATAATTATGATGAAGGTTTTTTGTATTCAAATATTTGTAAGAAGATCTTATATGCAATAAGAAGTACCTAGGTACGTAAGTCATCACAAAGTGATTATATAAAAAAATATTTTAATTGACAGAGAGCAAGAAGATTCTAATTGTTCAAGTATTTTACTAAGTAAGAAAAATTAAATATAATTGTTAATTACTGACTGTTATTTATTTATAAGATTTTAAAATTTGCTTTTAAAAGATATATTTTATATTTTGGAATATTTTTAGTTGTTACATAAGATAACATTATATACAAGGTGAAGATTGTTTTTACATTTTTTTTTATTTATTTACTAAGATCTCATTTTCTATTATTGTAAGTCAGTCCTCACAAAGTGATATTGTTAAAATTAAAGAAGACTGTCATTAAATGATTGATTTATATTTTATATTAAGCTCTTATATTTCTATAGGTAACTACCACTTTATTTGATTTCCTCAACTATCGTGTTGCAGTTTCAAGACTAAAACGCCGTTACATTTTAATGTTTTGTATTTAGAGGCATTTAAGTTATCAACCTAAAAAATAAATGCAGGAAAAATATCCCTATAAGTCACCAGCCGAATGAATGTCTGCTGGCCGAATGAGGACGCTTAAGGTCGCTCAGCGAGCTATGGAGAGGGCTATGCTTGGAGTTTCTCTGCGTGATAGACTCAGAAATGAGGATATCCGCAGTAAAACCAGAGTGATCGACATAGCCCAAAGGATTAGTAAGCTGAAGTGGCAATGGGCCGGCCATATAGCTCGAAGAACCGATAACCGATGGGGAAGAAAGGTTCTCGAGTGGCAGCCTCGTACCGGTAGGCGTAGTGTAGGGCGACCCCCTACTAGATGGAGTGACGACCTGGTAAGACATGCAGGAAGTCGATGGATGCAGGTGGCTCAGGACCGTGCTTTGTGGCATTACTTGGGGTAGGCCTATGTTCAGCAGTGGACTTGTGAAGGGCTGTAATGATGATGATGATGATGAAGTCACCAGCCTTAAATGCGGCTACGTGGTTTTAGCTCCATTATGGTTATGCATAGTGTTTGTTCTCGGAGTGATAATACTAAGTTATAACAACGTTAAAGTATTTAGTGGCATTACAGTTTAATAATGAAGAGATGTTTTTAAGACTTTTTAATTTCAATAAAATTAAATGAAAATCAAACACTAAAGTGCCGTTAAGGTAAGCTTAGTGGCGTTATAGTCGTGGTTGCATAAGCTGTAAATTGTAAAAACACTAAACTGAAACGCAAAAACCTATTTTTGTTAAGGTTTTTTTTTTCATTCTTAATTTCATTATTAAATAAGTAAAAGTATGGCTTTTTGAAAGCGCAAAACTAGATCTACTTTTTGATATAGCATCCATTTTTTATTTTTTCGCGCTTTTTTGTCCTTAACTTTGAAATTTGGTTTTGTTAGATAGCGGCATTATAGCTTGCGGACGGCAGTATATTCTTCAACACAGCAGTGTAAGCACTGTTATTTGGTGGCAGAGAGAAATCAGAGGGTAGTCCTTACCCAAACCGACTCCTTGGCAAAAAAGGAATCCTTTTTTGCATTTTACATCCTTTTTTGCATATAAATACTATCATCATATTTCATAAAATAATAGTGTATTACTGCATTAAAATTAACTTAATTTATACAAAAATATAGTCATAAAATTGCTGTACCTTAAAAAAGTACGATGGCTTTCACGTAAACAAAGTTGTATTAGTTTATAACAGTTATACTTACTTTGAAAAAAATACTGTAAAAGATAACGTGAGAGACAGAAACTGATTTTATTATGTTACACACTTTACGGGAATAAAATGGCTATGTACGCTTACCTAATACATACTTCAATATAAAAACCAGTGTTCGATATTTTTATTAATAACTTTAATAGTACACTATTTTAATATATATTTTTTCATTTTAAATGATTAAGTACAAAAATACACAAGTTTTGATATACAATACAAATAAATTTAACAACTACTCCATGTAGGATAAAAGAATAACCTTTTTTGTCCAATTGTCGATATATTTATATATAAACATAATACTTCGCTTTGAAACTACTCGTATAAAAAACCTTTTTTGCCATGAACAGCTTAACTGAGACTATAAGTAATTAAGTTTTCCCTTAAAAAATTAACACAAGTGCAGTAGAGGAATATCAAGTAGAATCCTATGAAATTATTATTCCATTTCTTCCAAATTAAATAAAGACTTTAAAATGAGATTTAAAGGAAACTGTATAAAAATCTGTCTTTTGCTTGTCATTTGCAAGAAGGCTAAAGAATAAGCATTTTATGTAATAAGCAATTTAAAAAATGCTTAAGACAAATTAAGGCGCAGAAGTTCTGAGCTTTTCAAATTTGATTAAAAATTTAATACACGTAATATGAACCATTTACAAATTAAGCAAATTATAAGAGACCACCGAAGGGGAAGAAAACTTTTTCATTGGCAGATTCGTAGAGTTAAGATGTTTCCTCCGATGGTAAGTAGATGCTGTGGCCCATAAACACCTAAATTGTCAGTGTAGAGAACCGGGGACCCATTATACTGTAAACTAGGCATTCCATCTTTGCCCTTCGGGTGCCAACGCATCTTCATTTTGATTCGTAATCGAACATAGATGTAGATGTCTATGGGCCACAAAAATCACGTACCATCAGGTGAACTGTGTGCTCGTATGTCACCTTATATTTTTAAAAAAATCAACACGATGTCAATTTTTTTCAACCAATTACTAAAACATTAATTTTTTAGTAATTGGTTTTTACTACTTATTCATTCGCGTAATGAAGTAGGTTTCCATTGCTCCGACAAATTTTGCTCTTTTCGATCAAATGAATACGACATGGAAAACGTTTCCTCTTCATTTAAACTTACTCTCTTTTATTTTGTTCTTTCGCCTTTTTAATAAACATTAATGTTTAGTCCAAAAAGCTTTTTACGTTCTTATGTTCTGAATCCTAAAAAGTTCACTTTGCGTCTTTCTCTATAAATAATCAACGTTTCAATTTAATCGATATTAAACTTTCTTTTGAAGTATTGTAAATGAATAACGAACATCGCAAAAAACGAGACACCGTCATATCCTCAAAATAATAATGATGAGTTTTTTACAAACAAAAACAAAATAACATTCATGACAAAAATAAAAAAGAAAAAATGAAAGATATAATGTTGCTCGGTCTGGTGAAACAGAAAAGAAAATATTATGTTTATTTTACGTAAAACAAATCGCCGTCTTATTACAAAAATAGTGTTGCGCGCCTAAGTTGACGTCATGTAGTGTCAGGGACGAGAGCTGGGGGAGCTTTCCACAAAATGACATCACTAATTTTCAACCGACAGCGCCATCTGGTGTCCAAACGAAGAACTAAGCTTCTAGAAGCCGACACTCGAACTTTCGACGCCTTGTCGATTGGTGCGCGAATGTTCTGGATGTTTCGGTGCTAATGTGTATTTATAGGTGCTGCAAGGTGCGATCGAGGAAGTATTGAATTTGGCGAGACAAGCAAAGCTTCGAAGCGAAATAAAGTGAATCATTGTGATTAATTATTAGTGTTTTAAGTTTAATTAGTGTAAAGTGAATTAAATAGTTAATTTTGGTAATTCTATCGGCAATTTTTATTGTCACGAACCTCAAGCTCGTAACAATGGGTGTCACAAGTGGGATAAA